GGGGCGGGCAGAGAGAAGGGTCCAGGAACTAATTCAAGGGGTGGAGAGCAACGGGAATAAGAACAGTAACGTTTTTTAGTTAAATTTTCAGAAGGTATTAGTTCATTTCTGAACCCCTAAATGGCATGGGAAAGAAAAATACCTATATATTTGGGGTTATTTTAATACAATGTCTCTATATATTGGGAAAGAAAGGCATTCGGCCTTTTTTGCATATGTAACCAACATCTGAGAATCCTGTTCCCTAAACAAGCTCGGAAGGATCTCTTCTCAGATATAAGTGACTCTGATGATATTGAACATGTCGAATCACTGTGTTAATGTCTCTTAAATCAGGGTATATATCAATCCTCTTTTACAAAAAATGTTTCTGTTTATAAATCCTAAAAACCAAATCTGAACCTGAGCTGCGAGGATTACGTATGGATATGGTATACGGGTCAAATGTACTACTTATGGGGGAAAGTCACTAATCCAAGAGTGACTATCGAAGGACATTAGTTAGATGGGATTTAACAAAGCAGAGTACAGAAAGCCGGAATTGTGCTACTGCGTAAATGAAAAGTGACTCACCAGTTACCTCGTAAATGATTCGACTATTGGCACTTCGTAGTTTAAAAAATACTCATTGTAACTGTCTTTATTGGGTAGAGTTGCTGCAAGTGGGAAAATACAGTAAGTTCTCATTTAATGTCGCGGGTAGATTTTGTGACTTTAAGCAACACGAGGTATAAGGAAACCAGCCAATGGATAGAAAGAAGAGTTAAGTTCCCAAGGTGTCTCATCAGTGTTACAATGAAACAATATGGAAAGAAACGATGTTATTTCAGGACCTGCTGTAATTGGTTACTCTTAATAAAGAAAAGAAGTAGATAAAACAAGTCTAATTGCTGTTAAACTTTTGATCCTGATTAACAAAGGTGGTCACACAGTGAAAGTATGTGAATAAGAGGCTGTAACGACAAATCCCTGATCTGAAGAGATGCCGACTCAAAGCACCCAGGGCCCCTGGAACAAGGGCACCTACTTCTTTCTATCTGGGCACCTCCCGCTACGTTTGGGACTTTTCTTCCGCAACTACTCTCCCTCTTGACACCCTTCTTCACTCTTCCTCTTCCTAATTATGTGCCACCTCGAACTTTCAGTGGACTCGTTAGAAATAGCCCAACTGCACTGAGAGACCTTAGGTAAGGCAGGATAGTTACCCTCAACCGCCAATTCAAAGGAGGCTGGTGAGAACGATCATCTCTTTTTAAAGATAATTTCTATTGATTAATTGCTTGCCGTGTGCCAGGCACTGTTGTAAGGGCTTTTCATAGATTATCTAATCTAATTCTCATCATAATAACCCTATGAGGCAGGTACTATTTATTTAGTCTCATTTTACAGTTGATGAATTGTAGGCACAAATTTACAGTCTAATACAGCGGTCAGCAACTATGGCCTTTGGGTCCAACCTGGCCCCAAAGTTTTACTGGAATTTCAAGCCCATTCACGGCTGCTTCTGAGCTACAGTGGCAGAGCTGGGCAGCTGCGACAGACCTCAGGGCCCAGAAAGCTGGAAACACTTACTATCTGGCTCTTTATAGAAAATATCCACCAAACCCTCATGTAAAACATGGCTAATTCACAGATAAAGGGGGGGAAAAAAGGCAGGAACATTTGGGCAGCTTGAAAGAGAGGTTTTCATGAAACTTTTTGAGCAAATATTGTCCTGATTGTCTTTTCTAAATTTATTTCCTTCTCATCACCAAAAAGGATTTATTGGGGAAAAAGCAAGCTCTATAAATCTGGAACTGCAGACACGGCAACCTACACGCAAGCTCTCGCGATCTGCTTTCTTTCGTTCATATTTTTACCTTGTGTCTTTTCACCCAGTGTGTATAAACCAGCCCCCAAAAAGCGAGTGTTCACGGGACACCAGCTCAGTAACTAAAGGCTACTCTCGCAGGATAGCAAGTTTAGATTAGGTGGAAAACTTTCCAAAAGAAGAAAGAAAAGGCATAGACTAAAGAAAGCTTTGACAACCATAAGTCTCCGAAGAGGTTGTAAAGTTTTTGGCAGTTTCACAGGTATTTCTTCTCAAGTACAAATGACATCATTGTTGAAATTAAAAAAATAATTGGCCAGGCTTATTTGACATTTGGTATCACATATTGTTTTGGTTGAGCATCAATTGATTTTTCTATTTTTACTGGGAAGTTATGTCATAACTATTTTTAGCAGACAGTGTCTGGTTCTATTACTTGTGGAGCTCGGCACACAATCGTGCCTTAGAGTTTTTTTGCTAAAGCTATAAGAATGCATGCATTTGGTGGGGAATGTTCTCATCAGCAAATGTCCTACTCTATGCTGAAACATTTTAGGTTAAAACTCTAAAACAGGAAGCAGCATTAACAAATGAAAGAATTTGGTATATTACTAGGCAGCAAAGTGAGTGTAGCTTTATAATATATAAATGTGCCTTTAAAATATTAACATTTTAATCATTAATTGTGAATAAGTTAAGATCTGAGCCGCTCTGGTAATTCTTACTTAATCCTTAAAAACCTATCTATAAGTCAAAGTCAAATTAAAAACTGAATTTCCAGAATACGAAACCTGACACATAAGCTGAGCTCGATTTGCACAGGCTCAATTTATGCAGACTTGTTTACTGTAAAAATGAACGGAAATTCCCAAGATAAGACACAGTCCACAGATTTTCTCTGCCCTTTACCACTTACCACCTTCTGCCAAATGCCAGCTGAAACAGAGAACAGCAAAGAACAGCAGTTGCCAAGCTTGTCTGCATATTAGAATCACCTGGGATCTTTCACGAGCCCACTGCCCAGGCCACACCCCAGGCCCATAAAATGATAGTCTCTGGAGCTGGGACACAGGTACAGGTATTAGTATTTTTGGAAGCTCCCAGACACCAGGTGCAGCTCGCCTGATGGCTCCATTTCAATACTCCTGACACCTGCAGTTCAGGGGGCCTGCTCCATCCCCTCCACTGTCTGCCAGGCGCTCAGATGCCTGGTGCAGGAGTTGTTAGCACAACACAGTGGTGAACGCATTGGTATCATCGTTCTTGCTCCTAACACGTAATCAATTCATTAATGCAAATATTAAGAGGATTCTAACACCATGAGTACGGCCCTAGGGTTTCTCTTAAGTTATGACCTGTTCAAACGTTCAGACCCCTTCTGCATCTTAGGAGACGGCACATCCGCGACACCTGGCTTTGCTCCTTAGTTTGCAAGCGTATTTATCCCGCATGACAGACTCAAAAAAAAAGTTTGCCTTACCTCTACGATGCTTTTTAGATCTTGCACGTAAGTCCTTTCAGTCTCCAGGATTTCTTGAACAACTCTGTCCACGTAGAGGAGCTTGGGGCTGGTGGCCGACTCGGCCCCTGTTTTGGTGGCCCCGTTGGCCTCCGCCCTCCGCGGGGCCCGGGGCTGCCTGTCGCTGCCCGAGCCCGTGCTCTGTGGCCCGGCCAGGCTATCCCTCTGCAGCTCGCTGCTGGAAACCAGCCTGGCTGGAATCAGCTCCAGCTTTATGGCCCCTGCTTCTTTATCCTGGGGAAACAAGCCCAAGTGGCTGTTTGAAACTAAGGTCATTCGGCTGCCAAAGGAACCGTGGCTGTCCCGGGAAGAGGCCGAGGACGACGTGGAGCCGAAGCTGACCGGGCGGTCGCTGTCCGAGAGCTCCATGGCCTTCAGCTCTTGGCAGCGGGAGTACCTGGCTGTGGTCTTAGGATCTGGGTCTTCGGTTACAGCTAATGGCACTTCAGGATGCAACTGGTGGACATCTGTGTGCATTAAAAAAGAGAAAGAACAAGATTAGCAATGTAAGTATTTTAAAATGATAGCAAACAGAAGATTTGAAGGACGTTAAGACCCAGCCCAAACATATGGAGTCAGCGAGTTAGTTTAGAAGGACATGCAAAGGTACCGTGGTAAGTTAGAGTTTCGAAAGCATCAGCTGGGGCCGTGCTAGACATGCAGAGTCTCAGGCGCCACCAGGCCCACTGAACTCCAGCCTGCACTTGGACAAGGTGCCCTTGCCATTTGCACACACATTAGGGTTTGAGAGGCACTGGGACCACTGCCTCAGAATGTGGCCAGCTGGGATGACTAGCCGATGCAGATTGATCCCGACTTCGTAAATTAAAAGCTCAGCGGTCAGGCCGTAAGGGATCTACAGCTTTAACAAGCACCACAAGTGATCCTTATGGGCCTAAAACGCGCCCTCCGTGATTCTTAGGGGATTTTGCGAAACACTGTTCCTCCTTTGGGGTGTTTCACTTTAATTCCACGAAACGTTAAGCCTCCATCCTGGAACCACCACCGCTTACTTAATGGAGGATGACCATTTTATATTTTACTAGTACACAGCATTAGAGAAAGGGTCGCATGGATAGTATTTCTCTAATCCCGGGCAAAAAAAACCCAAATATTAAGACCCACACCCCCTTTCAAACTTACCCTCTCACCACAACCTGTCTCTCTGTCTCTACTTGAGAGCTGACTTTCCATTGTGGAATATACAGAGTTAAATGGCTACAGAGTAGATCTGATTAACCACAGCACGCCCCATGTAACATTAGATAACATGACAGTGGGATCATATAATTACAGAATTAAAAATATGAGAATTCAATTATGGGAAAAAGATGTATTTTTAAAGGAACAGGCTGTTTGTATTTAGAAGAGGGCATGAGAAGAGAATGTCTGAGATGTCAAAAGGTCACTTAATACCCACAGCACTGAGATCTTGGGTCCATAAAGGCCCTACATGAACTGTAACCTTTCAACAGCTATTTTGGTAAAACACAAAGTTCCAAACTTCTTCATTTGTAAGGCAGGATCAACATTTCCCCCTTGATGAGGTCCCAGGTTTATAGATACAAAGTGCCTTGCAATACACAGTGTGATTAATAAAGAAATTTGTCTCATCTCACTAGATTACCTTACCACCCAAATCCACGTTTATGGGTTTGTTTAGAAAATCAGAAGAGTGAAACTTAGTTTGGAAGGTTAAAACAAGACAAAAACAAGAATAGAGGTTCATGATTGTTTTTCAAGAGGAAAACGAATTTGGTTTGGCTCTATAATAAACATCATCAAACAGCTGGTACCAATATTTCTAGAATATAAAGAATCCATCAAGTCTGCATCCTTCAACATCCTGACTTTTCCTAGAGAGTTTCTATCCACGGCAAATATTAGCGCCAACGTACAATGCAAGTATTAGAATTATTGAGTATAAAATAAAGGAACTCACTTGGGTCAACAAGGAAGAATGGTAAGAAATGTGTGGGAAATGAGCAATTTATCAGCATGACCGCTACCACATGGTGTGCCTTTGCCGCAAGTTTTAAAGCTTTTGCAATATTTTTTCTGCTTGCCCTATAACAACTTTATGGCCTGTAAAACACAGACTGCTTGTAGCAGTTAAAATGCACTTGCCCTAAAAAGCATGATCCAACTTGAGTGTGGCAAAAATCCAAGGCACTGAGGTGTGCTTGCCTCAAAGGATGCTTACCCACATTTGAGATCGATGTTAAGAAAGTCCTGGGCAGTTCAAAGTAGGAGCAGACACAACAAGGTTCTTTCCCTTCTGGCATCCGCCGTAAGCATGACCATGAGGTTGATCGCACTTCCACAACTGGGCATTAACTTGGAAAGTACATGAGGATCCTTTAAGGTCCCAAGAGTGGAATGAGGCATTGAGTTAGGACCAACCATAAGTTGGATAGACTGTCTATGAAGCCGGGCACCTGGGAGGCTCTTGGTCAACCTCCCCCATAGACCTGGATACACTGGTCTCCAGGGCAAGTTCTGGTTTCCTGACTCGACAAGGGTCAACCTTCTCTCCAGTATAGACAACTATGTGTAATAGTTGCATCGCTCTTGGCAAAGGCTCATTATCAGGAAAGGTTAAAAATGAACACAATAGAGACTCATTTTTGTATTTATTTTCACTCTATGTTAGCCAGTCAATATTGGGACCGAGGGATGAAAGAGGAACAATATATTGCCGGTGTTTTTAGAGGAGTCCATGTTGGGCTGCTGGGGATGATAGTGCCTTTTATACTTTCAAAGTAGAGCAAAGTGGGATGTGCAGCTCAGGGCAAAGGCGTCGCTTCATGGCTGAGTCAACCAGCAACAGGAACTGGGCCCTGCTCCAAGGATGGATCTCCATGTTGCAGTACCAGGCCCTGCACAGCTGATCCTTGAACAGCACAGGTTTGAATTGTGTAAGTTTGAACTTATATGCAGATAATTTTCAGTGAATACCTGTGCTGTTTCTGATCACAGTCTGCAGATGCAGAGGGCCAACTGTACGCAATGATCCACATCATTTTATATAAAGGACTTGAGCATCTGTGGGTTTTGGTATCCGCGGGGGCCGGGAACCAATTTCCTGAAGATACTGAGGGAAAACTTTAAGTTTTTGGGGAGTTAAAAGTTACATGCGGATTTTGGACTGGGCTGGGGTCAGCGCCCCTAACCCCTGCATTGTTCAAGGGTTCACAGTATTCTAGGCCACTGGTCCGGCCAGCCTATTCTTCAGATGGCCAGCCAGGCACTTCATAAAACAGAATAGGAGATATTTGGTAGCTGTTGTATTTAGCTGGGATTACTGCCCCAAATTAAACACCTTCCAAAATTACCAATGACAAGTGAAACATTTAAAGCTAGGTTGCATAATGGCATATAATATGAGGCCGCATTTGCTAATGGGTAACATTTCTCATGTTAATTCATTGCTTAGAAGATAATTATAGTTTTCTCACGTAAGGAAATCTACCTCATAAAAACTGTCTAGTCTTGTTCTCACCTCCCTTAAAATAATTTAAGATTTCCACTCTGTCTGGACCATTCTTCATCATGCAATTCACCAATTCTGAGTATTTATTTCTAGAGCTGCACTGATCAACACAGCAGCCAGTAGCCACATGTGGCTATTAAGCCCTTGACATGCAACTAGTCTGAAGTGCAATGTGCCGTGAGTGTAAAATATACACCAGATTTCAAAGAATTAGTATGCCGTGCAACAAAAAGTATAAAATACCTCATTAGCATTTTTTATATTAATTACATGTTGAATTAATATTTTGGAATAGTGGGTTAAATAAAATATCTCCTTAATATTCTCTTCACTGGTTTCATTTTCCTCTTTTTTTTAAAAAAAGTATGTTTTTATTGATTTCAGAGAGAGGAAGGGAAGGGGGAGAGAGAGAGAAACATCAATGATGAGAGAGTCATTGATCGGCTGCCTCCTGCACGCCCCCCACTGGGGATCGAGCTCGCAACCCGGGCCTGTGCCCTGACCAGGAATCGAACCGTGACCTCCTGGTTCATAGTTCGATGCTTAACTGCTGAGCCAGGCCAGCTGGGCTCAGTTTCCTCTTTTTGATGTGGCTACTAGAAAGTTACAAATCTTGTATGTGGCTTGCATTATATTTCAGTTGGACAATGCTTATCTAGAAATAGTCTAGATAATTCTATGATCCTGTAAGATCTAAATTTACTTCCTTATCAATCTTTGTTGAAGTAATAATGAATGGAGAGGTGCATATAATTCAAAGTTTGTCTCCTTTTTAAGCTCCATTCATTAGTACATAATATTGTTACTAATTGGCAAAAACAGAGTTGGGAGACAATCCCTGCCTACTAGAGGCTGGAGTAACTGCTTTCCCATGATAAACTGAAACCCGAGCCAGGAAACTGCAGCAGGAGAGCTTTTCCCTCTTCCCTGAGTGAAGGGTGTTGGCAGGTTGTATTGCCATTTGGGTAACCTGACGCTTTGCTTTCCTCCCCTTTTCACAGCCTCTCTCTCTTTCTACCCAACCCCACACACAGGGCTCATAATACAGCATCTTCTACAAACTTGCCAAACACTGCTAATGGCCCATGTCAGTGGTGTTTTGACCATGAACACCCTACAATAAGCTGGTTCTACCCACCTTGAGGATCTTGGTGCATCTGACCCTTGGTCACCCTGCAGATGGTGGTGGTGGAAGCCCAGGTAGAGGGGCCTTGGAGTCCTAATGATTCCTATGACTGGAAGTACCATGAGCCTAAAAACCATCCGAATAAAATATTCCTTCTCGTGCCATCTTCAATTAAAAACATGGCTACACAGCTACCATGTAGATACACTTTCACACATTTCACTTCACGACAAGTCCCTCTCTCTGATTTTTTCCTCAGTGAAAGAGCTTGAACTCCTTGGCTTCTCTCTGTTTGCTCTTCAAACGCCCATTATTTTAATTGGTGTCCTTCGGAATGTCACTGCCAGAATCAGAAACAGCTCTTCTTGGCTCTAACTCGTCTCTCAGGCTGATTTGGGGTTGAGGCAGAACTTTCCATGGCAAGTAAAGCCCAAGCTTCCTGAGGCCGTGTTTACATGCTGAAGAGGGGGACTGACGGGTCCACGGCCGGCCACTCCCATCACAGCTCCCAAGGACGGCTTCGCAAGGCAGAACTCTGCACAGCGGCGGCCGAGGAGGGATCAGCATCTCCAAATTCCGCTCATTGCTATTCTAGACTACAGCCACCTAACTAACTGAGCCCCTTGGCAGGACAACCACGAAAATCAAGAGAAAGTGTTGTGCTCAAGACCAATGAATAAGTAAAATTATGTAGCTCCTTGTTACACTGTCTGCAAATTGCTCAAAGAAGGGAGGCAGGAGAGAGACTGAAATATAAGCAAGAAGTTATTCTATCAGCCAGCAAAGTTCATTTAATAGAGAACCAGTCCTCGGTCGAGCCTCAATCAAAGCTGTCAACAACCAACTTC